GACTGTGTTTCAATTCCAAATCAAATTAATTCCTGGGTTTCAGTCATTTATTGTCTCTATTGAAACCCAGGAATGAACTTGGTTGTTTTTAATTTAGGATAGATGTAAAATGGAAACTTTTTGGGTCAATTTTTCAGACGAGTTTCCTGCTATTTCATCTTGGAATCTCTCAGTTGCTTGAGGAAGTTAACTTCCGGAAAAGCTCATCAAAATAACATTTTGGAAATTTTTCTTCCATTGATAATGGAAGAAAAACCATTTGAATCTTTTTGGTTTAATTAATTACTTTTCATATGTGTTTTTTACTTTTCAAATGCTCCAACGATTCATCATTTCTTCAATTCGTATACAATTTTCCTTCAGTCTATCTGTTAGACTGTTTAAAAATGTTCATATTTTGATCATCTGCAAAAGTAAAACATTCGTTGCTTTTTTGGTTTAGATCTCAGGTGTGCAACATTACTTATTCTTATTTTACCAAAAATTACAATTCCACATTTTCAGAAATCAATAGACAAATTCTAGCTATTTAAAAGCTTCTATGACCAGTTACCAGAAATCTAAGAACTGGAGGCAACACTTTTGGTAGGCACAAAGTGGTGCGAAGGTAAATCCACTTCGCCTCATTTCTTATGGGAAAAATCTACTAAATCTTCAGTTTAAAATAAAACAAAAAACAAGTATATTTTTGAGATATGGGACAGATTACACTAAACTGATTTCAAATAATTGAAATTTCTCAAAATATTTTTTTGTTTTTAAATTTACTACAATGGCAGAACTAGAACTCTGAAACTGTAAACTGTCCCCAGTTGAGTTTMTTTCTTACTTTTTCATTATGTTTACTTTTTCTTGCAGATCTGATGSTGGCAGCACGTCAAAACTTTCACTTCCAACACAAAGCCCGTCGTTTTTATTCAATTTTATTCCAATTCATTTTAATCAACTGGCAGCTTTTATGTTTCTTGGTCGAATTCATCAGCTTTCAAAATTTTAGAAATGTTGGCCAAAAGCCCCAAAATTAAAAAAAATATATTCCGACGAACAGCAATTCGAAAGTTTTTCTAAAGCAATTAAAAAACTCTGCTCTTTTCAATCCTGAAAATGTTTTTATTGTTATCACAAACAGACAAATCATAATCATAATTCAACAGTTCGGCAAATGGTGAAACTGACTTCTAAAAGAATTCCTACTTTGGCAAAACCGCTAATAATTTCGCAACATTACTTAACATTGCCACAGTAAATTTGGGATGTTCAAACAACGAATTATTGCTCGTTAACCCGACTGTTAGGTCTGATTCAAATTAACCATGCTGGTAGCAATCAATTAAACATTATCAGAGGGCATATCTAATAGTTTAAATACTTAAAAACCGTAATCTGGGCCGACTTGTATACTCTAATCAACGATGATTTCCAGCTTGAGTAGCTGCCGGAGGTATTAGGGTTAAAAACACGTGTCGCACAACCCTTATGCGTATTCATCGATATCAACAAAGGGGAGTCTTTAACTTGCGGCCTAACCCCAATACAAAGACTCGTCCTTGCACTTTTCTTGACCCTTGAAGGGTGTTTCGGAACGGGTTTAGGCCAACCAAGTGAAATGTCTTTAAGCATAATGCAAAACTTATAAAACCACTCGGAATGTTAGAAAGTGGGTCGACTAACAGTCGACAAGAAGTGTTACAAAACACACTCAGGCGAGAGAGAGAATGTAATTTGCTTGAATGCCATGCCAACGAGAATGTAAATTGTACGTAATAGGAACTCTATGCACGAATGTTCTATTGGGCCTTGACACGAAACATTACTTATATTCGACTTATCAAAAGCTTTCTTTATACGAGTATAATTGTTTAATTGACCCTTGACTCCGATGAATTTACAACAGATTTGTTCATGCCCCTACAACTGCACTTTCAAAGGGTAACGAACTGAAAGTGCATCGAATTAAATTATAGCTTGTCTAGCTTAGCCTAGTAAGTAGAACTTCTTCCTGACTATCATTCGATATATAAAACAGACCACCGGCGTATAAAAAACGAGCCTTAGTGGAACTATCGGCACTTGGAAGTTACCATCTTATAATGCAGTGTCGGATTGAATTAATTTTTGGTTCCACAGAATCACATTATTTTCTTTAAGAAAAGTGTGCTCCGAAATTAATGAGGAACTAGAAAGAAATTGAGGAAAACACCAGATTCGCGTTTACCCAGGCAAAGCAAGAAAACATTTGGAAGGACGAGCTCAAGCTCTTGCGAGATTATTCAAGAGTCAAAATGTCGACAATTTCTGCAAAATTGAACGAGTTCCATCGACAATTGTGCCAATAAAACAACCAAAAAATCAAGACAAAGCAGGTCAGGGCCTGAAGCATAACCATTTACATGCACTCATTAAAGCTCTATTCAAAGTGTAGCACATATTGATTAAAAAAAATACTTAACCATTATACGGGTGGTTCTTCAGTAGAAAGCTTTTCGAACAAAAGCGCACCCTTATAAAGTGTTTTCTTTGGTTTCAAGTAGCCGAGACTTAGATGGGTTATTAGACGGCAAAGTGCCATGGGAGAGACATATGGGTGGCGTCACATGAGAATCAACAACAGTGAGAAATGTAAAGTGCTATTCGAAAAAGCACTCACTGCTTCAAAGCTGGAAATTGTTAAGTAGCCATTTGCTGAAGGGAAATAAGTAACGCAAGTAACAAAGGCTTCAATTAATCGCCGATTGGCTGACTGAAAATGGAATAATTCGAACAGATGCTTTGGTTATATTATCATAAAAATGCCTAATAGGCAAGGTAAAGAACCGCATGACCCGAGCAGTTTAAACAAAAGCTGCCTAGAAGAAGCAGCAGAAGAAAAGCGACCGACGGCTTAAAGAAGGACAACCGGGGTCGTTCACTTAGCCATCTAACTGAGCTTTTCAAAGCACTGTTTGGTGCGGCTTTGTAGAATTTCGGCAGGTCCAGCTAGTTTTTGAAAGTCATAAGAGCTTAACGTGTGCAATCCACGATTTCACTCGCATACAAACATCAATAAAATGTGTTTGTTGTTATCGTGTAGGGTCGGCAGAAAAACCGTTAGAATATCATCCCCCTATGCGATACATAGACACGTTTTGAGTCACATGTTTGTTTCAATAACGGCACCCCCGCCTAACATTTGTTTTCTCTCTCGCATCCACCCGAAGGGATCGAAAAAGGGCCGCCAAAGGCACGCTTTCAGTGCTTATTTTAGCAACACATCTGCCCGTTTCCTAACGTGTTGTGTCTAGGTCGTTAGCCCTTAAAAATGCCATTTGGGGGGTGGGAAAGGGCCAGCTGTGTCGGACGAGAATGCATGATGTGTGAACGATCCGAATGTGCCAAATCATGTCTAGATCGACGATTGATGAGCGACACTTTCCATGATAGAATTATTTAATTCGGCCAGTATTAAATGCACGCCGACCGAAACTGTTTACACAATTTGAGTTAATTGTTTGTTTAAACATCACTATTTTTAGCTTGGTGAACTCAAAAATATTTTTACTGCAAAAATGCATGTTGCTATGCTAAATTTAATGGGATTTTTTTAAAGCCTTGCTTACAATTAGCAAGTAACTTCGAAGTTTCGAAGCAGGTCTCAAGTTTAGTGCCGCATGACAAGGCACAGCAACCAAAATTGAATCAATGTTTCTATAGATTTGCAAAGCACAACGGGTTCAAATATTTATCTATATCAAGACTTCTAGCAACAGTGGCTCTCCAGGAGTTGATTTACTTTAGCTTTCGGTTTTTTTAAACGCGTCAATTGGTTCCTGTTATAATTAACAAATTTGAAGCAAAATGAATTGACGCTCGTTTCAGTCTTTTAGGAAAACAATAATCTCATGGAATCGATTTTTGAATGGTTCCTTTTTAGAGATTTTTCAAAAGAATTAATTCACAGCAGTTTTGCAATTTGTTAAGAGATGGATATTTATTAACATTCACTTGTGCATGTGTTAAAATGAGTGGAAAACCAAGAATAATTATCAAAAAGCGTAAGAATATCGGTATTAAGTAATCTGTTTTTTATTCGGAATTTGTTCCTTCAAAAAATGTTCAATTTTCCAGCGTGGACTCAGAAAGTTTGGAAGATAAATTTGATGAACTACGAATTATTTACTTTATCAGGTGAATTATTTGATTAATATAACATTATTCAAGTTAAATGGGGATTTTTTGAGAAATGATGAAAAAAGCTTCCCGTTTTCACTTTCAAAGTTGATTTTCTAGCAATAAACTGTAAGTAGTTACAAAACATGAAACGCAAGTCCTAAGTTTGAAACCGGAAAATTTTTCGGATTTTAAGCCGTCGTGGAAAGATTTTCTTTTCTAAACCACCTTTTTAAACAAAGTCTTCAATTTCATTTCAAGAATCACAACATGGGTACCATGTAATATTGGCATGGTTTAGGTTGATTTAGTCTCCTATTCTATAAAAGATTAATATTTGAAGTATCGACTTCTTAATATGTAAAGGACAAATTCATGAACATGTTTGCATAAAATAGATTATCCAATCCAATTTTTTTAACTTGCAAAATATAATTAACTGATGTTTCACCATAAAACTAGTAACACTTTATGCCTCCAACGGAATAAGCTTCAAGAGGAAATTGCGTTTTAAAGTTCCTTAAAATTCGACAACAATTCTAAAGACATTAGGAAAAATCACAGGAAAGTTGCGAAACAAGAACTTGGTTCGGCCGTTAAACTATTAATATTTTCTACTTCCAATGGCCCGAACTTTGTTTGAAATTAGACAAAGATTTGAAAATAACTTAATAATCCAGACAAAGTTGCTAACAATTAAGACTTTCTAGGACTTGATACCATGATCTAACAACTTTCACATGTGGAAAGCATTAAGTAGTGGAGTTTTGGTCAACATTTCAAGCCACTGATTGCAGCGATTTGAAACCGACAAATTTGCAAAATACACAACTGAAAATGGTAAAGTTTCTTACCTGTTATCCTGCTTTGCTGGTTTTTGTGCTCCTCATTACTGCTGGGGGACGATTTGATCGGTCTCGGCCTTACCAAATCAGCCTCTGCCAAATCACAATATTGGCTGGAGATGTCGAACTCCTCCTCAACTTTCCTCTTAACTGGAACGTTTTCTTTTCGGGGTGTGGCGGCCCGCCAATGAAACGCCCCGGTAGGTTCCAAAGTAGTTTCGGTTTTAAAATCGAAATTCCATTTTTCCGATTTGGTYACGCTGATCTTCTTCAGCTCATTCTCCAGGAATTTTTGCGTCGCCTTCGGATCGACTGGACCAAACAGGACTCTCTTCACTTTTCTGATCTGCTAAAGAAACACTCCTGGTTAAAGTTTTAATAACTATGCCACACTAATAATGAAGCATTTTGACTTGACTTTGACTTGAAGCGACTATTTGACTGCGTTGACCCGCTGATAATGTTTCTTAAGACATCTGGAATAAATATCGGATTTCAAGAGCCGAAGTGCCATCAATTTTCGAACAATTACACATCAAAAGCGGTTTTAAATGACCCGTGAGAGGACAGTGTGATTTGATTTTCAGCTCTAATTAGATTCGACTACTTAGATGCTCTGTAGAAAAACAACATTAAGTGGGCTTTAGAAGAGTGTTATGAAATGGGGTCAGTAAGTAAATGAGTAGAGTTAAGAGCAGTTATTTAAGCAAAATATTGGCTTGAAATTCATTAATTAGCTGCAAGGCTAGTCATCTCGTGAGGTAGCTTTAAAATGCATCATGATGGCGTTTTTGCAGGTTTTGAAGAGTCACTCTTGAGGTAGGCGTGCGATTAACAAAAATAACGGTAAGTTGAGTGCGTAAGAAGCAATTTGGACCAGTAACCTAGTGGTCAGCAGTAAGCACATTTCGCTATATGTTTTACTGTATTTGACAGCAATCTTTCATAGGCCAAAAACGGCCTAGAGAACCACCCAAAATAAAATACAAAAATTACAACTCTCGACTTAGAAATTGATTAGGTATATTTTTAAGTAAATTGCCTAAAAACAACTTTGAAACCCAAATTGTTGCCTAATTTTGCAGCAACTTAAAGGCGAATTTACAGTGAAGTAAACTAAATTGAAGCCTCATCAACTAGATTACGCACCTCTGGTTTGTTTAACATCCTTAAATCCGGATTTGCGGAGGATAATAAGATGCGTGTTGAAGAATAAACACTGGGACTCATCCTTGTGAGGTTTTCGTGCTTCAGGTAGGCAACCAACAAAACAATACGCCACGCGCCAAGTCGCTTCAGTTTCTACACTTAGACAAAAAATCGCTGATTTTCTCGATGTCAGCCGTCGGCCCGCACGGGAAAATGTCGTCGAAAGGCGCCGGGAAACCCGTAAGCACTGTGCAACACAAAAGGCGTCGGAAAATTGACGATTTTCCGCTTAAATTCCGACTTTAGGTGACGATAAGTCGAACAACGTCTAGTTCGAGTAAAGCTTATGACGCGACTGCATAAACAACATGCGTCAGCAAACAAGCGACGGCGCACGCTACAGCGTTGTCGTTTGTTCTGAGTTAAAAGTTTCTCTTCCAACCTGGTTTCGCTGCAGCTGCAAGCCTGATAGCCGCTAATAGAGTTATATCGCTGACTCAGCAACGACAGCAAAAAATCGACAACACACGCATCTCCTGGGAAAAGCTCAAAAGTCTGCAGACTAGGTTGTTGTCTGGAGTGAAAAAACTGGCGATTTACATTTGGAAATGTAAATGCGCCAAGCCAATGCCAGCGGCATTGCTAGGCGCTTGTAGCACAGATTTTTAAACGGCAGTCGTGTTTTTTCCAGGAAAATCAGGCATATAAAGTCAAAGAAAAACTGTTCAACGTGGCAACTGCAGCGACATTGTTGCTAGGAGAGCGCGGGAGCGGGAAGCATCAGGACGGGTCTATTTGAATCGGCAAGGTGTGTCCGCGCGAAAAAATAAAATTCAAATTTTGGCGCCTTTGGATTTTCTTTTCTATTCTACAGCTTTCTGCTTTAAACTGCTTTTTAGAGCGCAAATAAAACACAAACACCCGCACGCTGTTATAGCAGCCCAAAAGTCCTGGGCAATGAAACAGCAAAGTGTCAAACAGAACTGCATCAAATAAAACTAAAGCAGAAAGCTTGGCAAGCGCCAATCAGTCTACCTGCCGTATGAATTTTGGTTGTAAAAACGCTTTTATTCAATTTTAAGTATCTTAACAATGGCAAATAGCGATTTCGCATTGCGCCGAGTAAACAGTGGGTAATTTACTGATAAGGCAGTTGTTTTTTGTTTGACATCATTATCAGAGCTGCACATTGTGTGACTTTAATTAGATCGCTTGCTGTGCAAAAGTAGATAGTTTTAAACAGTGAGGATGCTATTTATCAGCTATTTATAAATCATAGTTTCATGTTGGGTTAAGTGATTGTAACAGCCATAAATCACGATTGGAGCTTAAGCTACTCATTTTTGCAGTGTCTGCCAAAATTAAAAAAAAAACAGAAATTGTTCGTAGGAATGTTCTTTGCTGCCCATTTGGTTACTTAAATGGCTCTTTTGCTACTTGCAAGTTTCCAGCAGCAAAGCGTTCCTCAATTCAGCAATTTTATCCTCGCACAACCTCCTTTACCACTCCTTTCCGTTCCATTAAGGAATATTCTGTTTTCCTTCAAAGCCTCCACATTTTTACTTTAATATTTCTTATCCACTTTTTATTATCAGTACATCAGATATTGTTAGAACAAAGGAATTGACGATATGTGTGTCATCATCAAAATTATAAATTTAATCTATATTATAAAGATAAGTATGTTTTTTTTTCCTTTTTGTTAAACCGGGTGATACAAACTGGAAAAGCATGTGTAGTACATTAACAACACTGTGAGTTCGAACTTCGGACGGTTTTTGTATTGGTTTTTGATTGAAATGATGTTGTGGTTTAGTGAAGAGGTGGTTGCTGCGCTTTGCAATCCACCGCTGAAGATGCAAGCCCTTCGTGCCTGCAAAACGTCAGGAAGAAATTATTTTCCACAGCGACCTAAGGCTGAAAAACTTGCCAGTTTGTATCTATCCCCTGCTTTTGCTAAACTTTTCGAACAAATGGCCTCGTTCTAAGATAATGTAATCCGTAATAGTGAATGAAACCCACGCCTTCGTATCATATGGTTTGGCTCAAGACGAACGTGTAATGCAGGTGTTGTTTTATCCCTATACGATTAAAGCCAGAACAGGAATTTCGACGGCTATATCCGCTGAAGCCCTAAAATCCAGTGACATGTGACTTGAGTCTCGAGGGTGAGAATATCCTGCCCCGCCGGAAGTTTGATCCCTTTTTAGCATCGCGTTCCTTTCGAGGAGTCTTAATTTAGCTCAAATGCAGGCAAATTTCGCAGGGAGTTCTTTGAGATTCGTATGTTAAATGCATAAATGCAAATGGTGAGAAACAGCAGGAGAAATGAAGATGTTAAGTTGGTATGAATGTGGAAAACTTGCAGCAGCAGCTGCGTCGGTGACAGAGCCCAATTAATTGCGATTTGACTGGAAACACAAGAGCAATCATCGAAACTAGACCGTTTTCGAAAGTAATCCTGTGGTCGAAAGAAAAGGTTTCTTTACCTGAGAAGAGCGGGAAAATTTTACTACACTTTAACGTCGATACTGATAAGTTGTAACTCTAGATAGAGATATGTTGCATCGAAAGCGAACACGTTATCTTCCATTGGAAATAATTAATGTAGTTTAAGCAATATACTGAAATATCCGGCACAAGTAATTGACTTAGTCGACTGAAAATTTCTAATTATTTTTAATCAGCAATTTCCAGAACTAAACTGAATAAAAAAGTGGACAACTTAGCAAAATAAATAGTTAGTATAAAATATATATAGTATAAAAAAGTAGCAAACTAGGCCTGGGTAACACTGTGTTGAGTTGCGCTTTTGAGTTGATGCCGCTCTGTGAGTTCGTGAGTTATAACACATCGCGCCTCACTGGGCCTCACATCGAATTGCGCGTGTGGCGGAATAATTCTTGAAATCAGAACTTCTAAAGGACACTTTTATTCAGTTGAAATTTCGTTGGTTTCTATCATCGTTCGGAAATTGAGGAAATTGATTTTTTCGTAGTTTTTTTGGTGAGTCAATACTTTTAGAAACACAAAATTAATTCGCTTATTAATTTTAGTTTTGGCCTTGTGCATTAATTACTGCAGTTGAATGAAATTCAGACAATCATAAATGGCTCTAAACTTTTAAATAAATTAGGAAAGATCGGCGCTTGGAGCGTTTTTCGTTTAGTTGTTGTTGTCTTTCGTTAAGATGGAACGTGAAATTTGCCTTTGGAAATATTGCAATGAGAACAGGCACTTTCTACAAAAATCTTAACAATAAACAAACTGAAATCGAACTGCCAAGTAAAGCATGAAGCATCGAAAGGGCGAATAATTAAATGCATAAATAATCATGTTTATTCTGCATTGTATAGTTCGAAGCCTTTTTTACTCGGAAAGATCTATGAATATTCAGTTTGCTAACGACAGTGAACGAAATCGGTTGATGTGGCTCTTTTGGCAAGTGCGGTAGTTTGTGAAAGTGTAGCGAACTTTTGGAGGATGTTTGGGTTGAAAATGGAGGATAGAGCGTCAGCTTGCAGAAAACCGGTAAGAATGATCTCTAATCTATAAATCTATCTTTTAGCTTCAACTGCGTTTAGCTTTTCGACAAGCAACTGAAGTTTTATGGATTCTTAATATTTTTCTCTCTTTGCTTTGCTGATTTCAAATAAGTCTGGCTTTGGAGAGATCTCCTGCTGTACTAAACCCATTTTCTTCTTTCTTTCCAGGTGGCACTGTGCAGCTTTCGGTAAGCTTAGTATTACTTTGCCCCTGGTTTTTTTTAACCATTTTCAAAAGTATCTTTGTATACTCCCCAGTAGCTGAAAATTCATATCAAAAGTGGGCCAAAAAATTCCTGAAAATAATTTTTCCAGCTCCTAACTAGCCTACTTACCTGCATTTGAAACAAGAACAAACATTTTCTTCCTCCGCCATAGACCACTGTCCAACAGAACTAAAATTATACTCAACAAAACTTTTGAGATTGTAAATCCTTTGCACTTAACCAATTTTTTTTCTAACTAACAGCTGCAAGTTATATTAACGTTATCATTCACGAAAAGTCCCTATCGGGTCGTAAACCAGCCGACAGGCTGTCTGATCCTTCCAAAGGCAGCAAACCAAACTTAAATGCAAATAAATCAAGTTTTGACACTCAAACTCGAACAGCTTTTGTGTGTAATTTGTATTATTTTCGTGGCTCCAAAAGGCTTCTCGGTTTTGTCCGGTGTAGGTGTGATTCCTAGACGAAGTGCGCATATGAATAGCATTGTAGCGCAATAGAATTAGACCCTGATGGAGTCGCTTTGAGGTCGTTTCATGTACGATAAAAAACGATCATTTTTCCTTATGAAATTTTAATGAGGCATTTTATTTGAGGTCATCACGAATCAGAATAATAGTTGACCGACCAAATGTGGTTTATCGCTCAAATAAAGCGCCGCTCGTTGCATGCTCTTGTAAACATCCTTTATGAGTCTAGATCTTTTTTAAATTGTCGCCAATGGCTTTTAAAGTGCTGCATTTGATGCATATGCAGGTTGCACATGGTGCACAGGTACCCACTAATCATTTGTCATATTTCCATATTATTGTGTAGTTTTATATTTTTTACTCACATGTTGTTTTTTACAAGATAGGCGAGTAAATTTTGGTAAGTTAATTGCTCACTGTATTTAAATGAAATCAAATGGGGCAAACATTACACGCTACATATGATATGAAAGTCGGTTACAGTTCCTGAGGAAAAGAAACAAAGGCCTATTGTTATTTTGTAACACTTTCCTGACTTCCACTTTACAAATATTCTCAGCGGTTGGTGAATAGTAAGGAACTGTGTTGTAATTTTATACGCTCATCTTTGCATCTACGCGCAAAATATGTTGCAGTTATCGTCCAAGTTGCGCCTGAGGAAATAAACCCTTGGCAGCTGAAGATCATTTAATGAGTCCAGGTCAATCTTGATTAAGGTTCTGTGAACTGGACTCAGGATCTTTTAAATGTTTAGCGAGTTAAAACCGGAAAACAATTTGTCCGAGTTCCACTTACCCATATGGGGCATGGATATAGATAAAACCCAACGGCTTGACCGGTTGTAGCAAACGGGAATAATCCTATTAAGGATAGAATAATTATAGTGCGAATTCCTCAAATTTTTATACGACTTAAACGAATTTTATAACATGGGTCGATATTGTTCTTTCTCGATTTATTATGTTGACATCAGTTTATCCATTGTTACGTAAAGGAAGTAAATTCAATATTCTACATTTTACGAATGTGGTAAAAAACAGAAGAAAACCTGCACAAAAATGCTGTTTTATTTATCTCAAACTCAATTCATTTTTATTTAGAATGGATGTGTTTTTTTTATTTCTAAAGAGAACCTCAAAGAATCCTAAAGAAGAGTAAAAAAAATATTCAACAATAATATTGACAAAGATTCAGGACAGTGCTAACACTGACATTACATGAAGCTGATTAATTTGTCGAGCTCTGAGGTCATGAAGAAGAAAAAATATTTTTTCCCTGACGGCCTAAAATCCCGAAATACTCACATTGTTCCAAGAAATAGCCGCCAAATCTTAACTGATCTGGTATAAAATATTTTAAATAAACATTTCATGGGAACTGAGCCACTTCCAGACCAATCGGAAGGTGGTCCGCCAGCGATTTCTTTTAAATTTGTGTATATATTTTTGGAGTAGGTATTATTAATTAAACATGGTTTTTAATGCTTTTCACACCGTCGATGGTCTTGCTTGTAAACTTGATTACTTAACCGACTAGATTGACTTCAGCAGTATTTAAGAGATTAGTTGTGCCTGCCATCACACATTGCGACCCAAGTTCCAAGGTGATTTGCATATTTGTCATAATTCAATCAAAGACCATGTTGCTCCATTAAGAATTTCTCGCACATGCCAAGAAGCCTGACTGATTTTCGTTAAAATTCCCGGTGCATTTTGGCCTAATTCAAACGGGAAAATCGAAACAGTAAACCAAAGTTGGGCAGTCAGAACTGAAGCAAAATATCAGTACGAGCCACTTTTCTAGGTGCAGTCATCAGACCGCAAAACGGAAACAGCGTATAATTAATCCCAAAGAATGGACGGAAATAATGGGGGGCAGGCCGGGGGGAAATTGGGGCTTTTTTATTGGCGCGCCGCCAATTGTTGAATGCTGGCAAAGCAAAACCTACTACCATTCTATGTTAAGTTGTTGTAACTTGTGCTTGTCTGAAAAACACCATGTAAAATGGGAATTTGTGCTTGTGGTGGCCGATGTGCGTACGATGGAACAACATGGAGTGCTGATGGTAACTAGTAACTTTTTATTCAACTATCAATTTGGTCTATTAAAAAAAACAAGAAAAAAAGCAGAGAAGCGAGTAATTCTCTAGCCATGATGGAGGCCAGAGGTTTCAGCTAGGCGTTTTTCATGATTCACAACGTTTCGGTTGGCAAATCCCCATCCCCACTGACTATTTATCAGGAAAATGTCGCCTTTACTTAAGTAAATTCATGGTGATAAGGCTAAAATTCATAATGAAAAAGTTGAAGGAATGATTTATCGTAGAAAATCGACCAGTTATTTGAAATGAAAGTATTGCGTCATCGTTGAATGCTTAAAACAAACAACTGCTGTTTGTACTAAAAGTACAAGCAGTTTTGGTTTTGCGTGAGAAGCCATATAAAAGAATTGAGGGCCTGATAGCAACCATTGTTTTGCAAATGAGAAACATGTCAAGATAGCATTATCATTTACATTGAAACTAAGTCACTTTCCTAGTGAACGCCAGTTGACTGGTTTGCAATGCTAAGTGGATTTTTTTTTGATAAATTACACGGTGAAATTGCAAAAACCGTGATAACTAATGGACGACGCCACTGGGTGTAGTATTGATCAAAGCGACGCTCGCGTCGGCGTCGAATCGCCTGCAGGCGCTCCCCTTTATTACTGCAAATGCATTTTTCCGTCAAGGGAGCCGCAAATAGAACGTCGCCGAGAAAAATCCTGCTGCAATGCGTTTCCTGCAGCATTTGCCACCGATCTCGCCTAAAATCCAGTTGTGAAGTGCCTGATAGTGGACTGCATTTTACTGGCAGCAGGATTTTTGGTATGTATTTTCGAAAATATTCACCCAAAAGTGTAACCCATTTTGATATAAAAGCTCCGCTTATCACTAAAACACACAGAAAACTACCCCTAGCTTATCAAGAACGGAAACGAGTGTGGGTATTTAACTAATAAACGTATTCGATAATGATCCAAATTAAATAAATACGTGATTGTTTTAATTGCGATTTTGGTGGCACATGAAAACACTTTCCAGTGGTGCTTTAATAGTATGCAACTTACTGCAGTAGTTTGTCGGCAGTCGGTGTTGCAGGAAATTCATGTGATAGATTGTGTCGGCAGGACAAACAATAGTGGGTACGTGCTTTTCATCTTTGTGCTCTACGTCTATTGAAGCGTTTATATTTGGATCATTTCCTGCTTTGGTTCTGGAACCCAGCAGGTCTTTGTTTAGTTGCGTTCGAAGTGATTTTCTTTATTCACTGCACTTTCTCCACTTTCATTCTGTCGATATAGACAATACGTATTCATTTACACTGCGTCGCAAAATTAAGTTGCACTTACTTTGGATTGTGAATATTTTCTCAATCGGTTATCCGATTTGAGCAATGTTTTTATTGAACCGTGTAGCTCTATTCTTGGACAAAATTTAAGTTATGGGATAAGCCAAAAAATGCAATTCTTGGTCGAAGTCTAGATCCATCTGCTGTCAACATCAGGTAGCTCAGGCAGAAACAAATATACGGTGTTATAGCCTTCTGAGTCATCTTTAGTCGTCTGTTTACCTTGAGCCAATCCAAAAATTTTAATTTTTTATGACCGGTCACATTTTCTGCACAACATTCATTTAATTAAACTTTTTTTATTCCAAAGAGAGCTGTGCAAACAATTTTGTTTATCTCTGTTGATTTAATTCTGTACAAAACAAGAATATCTTATCTTTAGTAAAACAAGAACTTTAACAAAGAGTGACAAATGTGGTTAACACGGCTTTTATGCCATAAATCTTCTTAACAAATAAAAAAAACGTTTGGCGTCGAAAATATAACCGGTAAAAAATATATCACGAATAGCTTCGGATAAACAGACTATAACAACCTATACTTTTTTATGTCTGAGCTCCCCGATATTAATCGCAGCAGCAACTTTGAGCAAAAAAATGAGACAATTTCAACACCCTCTACAAAATGTAGATTTAGTGTATTGGCGTATTTTGCAACTTAAATTTTATCTAAGAATGTAGCTATGATTCGATAAACAATTATTCAAATCGGATCACCAACTGAGAAACTATTCACAACCAAAAGTTAGGGAATATTTCAGCTCTGCGTAACGTTTGCGGCGCTGTGTATCTATCTAATATTGAATTGCTTTCTTGTGTGTGTTTTATTTGCAATTTTCGTCAACATTCTCAACTCTTCAATGTTTCAGTATCAGGTCCTTGATAGTTTGCATGATTTTTACTGAGAATCAGCGTCTTTAACTTGTAGAACATGCACAACTGTAGTCAAATGACAAATTCGTAGTTTAAAAACATTTTAATATAAACTATTTCCCTGGGTTGCTTCGATTTCACAAATTATTGAAACTGAAACTCGGGAAAATAATTTATATCAAAATTGGAAATACTGTCCGGAAAACTTGCATGATTTAAAACAATAAAATAACAGTGAGAAGCTGATAAACCAAAACCTTTTCAAGGTCCATCATCGAATGATCTTGACTAAAGTTTCCAATGTTCCCACCAAATTCACTTCTGATCCAATTTCTGTTATCAACCGCTCTTGAATGACATAAATAGCAAGATTTAAATGCGTTCCTGAATGACGTTAAATCTTCAACTTTAGGTAAAATTTGAATAGAACTTAAATGTTTGAAATCGTTTCAACGCTTTTACCAGTAGTAGCAGATTCAAGCGATTTATTCAGCTCTTAAATAACGTTTTACGGACAGCTAATTTACTTTTGCAGAAAAGCACGAGCTCTATGATAAATTTACTGTTTTTCTCAAAAACAGTTAATTTTACGAAAATAAACTAAAAGTACTAAAATCTCGTAAATGAATCAGTCTATTTAATGTTTTTTTTTCTTTAGCTTTGAGTGTTGCAGCAGCAAGTCTTTTACATGGCTGATTCATACTTATTTAACAAGCACAAAGTGACGTTTTTTAATTAACGTTTTCGAGCTTAGCTCGATTTCGATTCGTTTTCGAGCTTAACTTGATTAGTGATTAGTCGTGCACAGTAATTTATGTGATTGTGTTACGAAAATCCATTGATTTAAGCAAAAAAATTCCGAACACTAAAATGTTCCATATTAAACGAATTAATGTTGAGTAGTAATTGGTTCAAGCTATTTAATCAACACTTAGAAAACGTTGAACTGGAAGTTTGCTGCAGCTTGGATACAGGGCGTGCACACGTTGAAAAGTATATCATTTTGATTAACGACCCTGCACTTTATGACAATCAATGTATGAAATGAAAAGTATGAATTGTTGAGCATTCTATATTTGACACGTTCAAGTACATGCGAGATTTTCTTGAAATGAGGGAACACTTTTATTTTTATTTCCTAAAAACTATTTATTTTACGAATATTATCGACGCATTCTCAAAGTCGCAGAATTATTACAATTTTCGGAACCGACTGTTTTAAATTGCTTATATTTACAGTTTACAGGCAGTCCGAGCGCTTCTAAAATTAATAAAACCAATTCCATTTTTTGGAAATAAATTTTTCTTTTTGAATGGGTACATCAATCTACATGTTAAGTTGATGATAAGTACATGTATTGGTTTTAATCTTTGACTTTCCATTATCAAAAGGAGGATTTCTCGAAGAGGAAGTTTCGTTTAGTTTTTCCATACAGGAACAATGTTGGAAAAACACTCGCTATGGGCGAGTTGCGGGTAGTTTAGTCTGCAACTAACAGTTACAGTTATCGTTTTGTAAAATGACTAGTTTTGTTAGAAAAACCTAACGAACAAACTTTGAAGAAAATTACAAATTATTGCAAGGAAAAAATAATGAATTTATGTAGTAAGTATAATAGAGAATATTATTAATTTAATAATATTTTTTTAAAATCAGGCTTTCTGAAAAATGGAAGGTGATCAATTCAGAATTTGCAAAATTTATAATTTCTCTGAAAAATTAAACTGATACAATTGTGGGGAAAGTTTTCGATTCTACAATATTGCAAAAGCGACTTTTATAAATCAAAAATATATTGTTCTTCTTAAAAACTTTTCAAAAGTTGATATTGGTGTGGGTTTTCATATTAAGACTCCAGCAATCTTTTCAAATAATACCTTATCATTCTCTCAAATTCTTCGTCTTTGGGCAACGACTAGTTTTGGGGCATAATTCGCAGATTTAAAAAATCTTTAGTTTAATAACACTTAAAGCTTGCAAAGAACTGTTGGTGAAATTGATTTCACAAGTGGAACTTTTTTCAATTCAATCGAACACATTTAGAATTTAGTGTTAAGTTACCTCACAAAATGTGTATGAAAAATCTAGCCGAAACTCCAAGCAAAAATGTCTTCAACTCAGAGGCTCAACGTAAGTCCAACGACGATAATTGAAACGGCCATTAATCAAAACAGCAAAACAACTTATTATTTATAATCATAATATTGAATACACTGCACATGATACAGTTTATCAAGGTCCACTGTTTTTCTATTAGCGGAACTTTGTGCACGATAATTGAACTTATCGAAACAGTTGTCGCTCAATAGACGCCCGTTATCAAATGAATCATACCTACTGCGTATGGCTGACGTGAAAACAGTGGCAGGAACTTGATTAAAAATGCCGAATTCCTGATTAAATTAGCCCCGATTTCCATTGCAGAATTATGTCCGAATCCATTCCACAACGCTCCAAGAACAAAGTGTGTAGACGTTTGATTTTCGATGACGATGACGCTCCTGAGAAGCAGCGTAATGAAGACCTCGACCATCTGGATCAGCTAGTGGATTTGGAAAAATTGAACGCCACAGAGAAAAGTGAACAAATGTCGCGGTGGAATTTCGATTTTGATAACGAAAGACCCTTGGATGGCGACTGGCAGTGGGAACGAGTGTCACCACCTAGTCCAATCCAACAGCAGGAGCTGATTAAGACTCTGGAAATGGAAAAAGAGGACAAGCACAATGACAGAACTGTCTAGTCCCGATTAAGTGAGCCTGAACATTGCCTCAATACCAATGTGCAATTATTTGTATTAATTTTTAGTAAGAGCTAGTCAATCCACCAAGGGCTGTCTAATAACTTATTTATTTATTGTCTCTATCTTTGTAGGATGTACTTGTCGGTAAACATGCGCCAGTATTTTACCTCATACAGCTAAATGAACCAAAAATCATGTATATAAGATTAGCAGATAAGTAATTTCATACATATGATAAAATCAAGATATTTATTGTGCATTAGATAGTAGTATTTGTTTTCAGATAGAAAATTCACAAATAAGAAATGTTTGTAAAAAGATTATCTAGTTTTCCTTTACAATTAGCCTACGTGACGTGCAGGTGTTGAAGGGACTTTTCAATGGTTTAAGATCCTAGGGAGGATTCCCAATCCTAAAAACAATGCAAATTTCTCTAAAGGTTGGTTGTTTTGGGAGTCCTTTGGAAAGCTTGATTTAAAACTGCGCTTACTACTGAGTTAAGTGGAGCAAGACCTTTACAATAAACGTTGAAAGACTCATTTTACGCTAACTTTCCTAGAAAAAACTCTCTTTGAGAATTTTCAAAAACCGTTTCAACATGAGATGATGAACTTGCAGGCTCCTCATTTATTACAGCTTTTGATGCTTTGAACATTTTATTTTGCGTTGACAAAACACAAAAGGACAAACGAATTAAAGCAATTCAAATTTCTGAAGCAAAACTGCAGAAAGAAAATAAGTACAAAAACTATCAGAATTGAAACTCTCTTAACTCTTAAAATATACTCCAGACCTTTTCTAGGTGGAGAAGGTGGAGAAGCGTACCATTGGAAGTTTTCTTCTCCTTTTTTCTCCCAGAAGCCATCCGATTTAGATATTTACTTCCAATGGTGTTGTTTATGCTTCACTTTGAGACATTCTATTCTAAACTGGGCTCAAATAGATTATGCTGGAAGTTCTCTCTCGGGTTCAAAATAAAAACATTTTGACAAAAATGTGCTCAGCGGAAAAGTTACTGCAGGAATTTGTTCTCAAAGTAGATCAGATTTAGGTCCAATGGTTTTTTACTTTCAATGGAAAAATATCGGTGAAAGATCAACTTGCAGCCGACTTAAATCGAAGCTTTACCTAATATAAATCGTATTTTTATTTAATTTAAATAGAGAAATTTGACTTATTATCCCCGGAAGTTTAATTTGTACTGAGTTTTTAAGCATTTTTAAACATGAGATTTAACTTGAGGTTTGAATCTTTGGCTTTTATCAGTTTGAGACTTATAAAGAAGTTTGAGTTTGAGGATTTTGGAAATGTTTGTGCCTTTCAACCCCTACATGATCCATTGTCTTCAGAGATTGGTTATTAGAACTGCGCGCCTTGAGAGAAACGTTGAAAGTTTTGTGTTGGGCTAAATCTAATGAAAGAAAACTCTAGCTTGAATAACTTAAAACAATAATGATAATAATAATCTCGAATTAGATCATTAAAAAGCTGCAAAACTACCAAATTTAAACAAACTCAACAAAGACTGAATTTTTTTTAGGTCAATAATTGTAAAAAAATTCCCTTGAAATCCGGCATCGGATTGTCTCTCTTAAATATGCACTTTTTTGGCAGGATTACCTTATTCTCAGAAATCATTAATATTGAGGAAACACGTTAAGTATTGCAGAACATTTAACATAATTGTTGAAAGAAAACTCTAGCTTGAAAAACTTCACTAAATGAGAGCATGAACAACTTGAGACATCCATTTCTGTAAAATGAGATTAAATAGAACATAATTCTACTAAAACACAATTTAATTCAGGCAGACATTGTGAGATTAAAGATGAAGAATGCAATTCAAAAAAATTTAATGAAGACTATGAAAAATAATAAGGTTTAAAACGAGAATGTAGATAGTTGAATTGTTACAGATTTTAATGATTTGATAATTTCATTTTGCGGTCAGAAAGAAGAAAAGTTAATAGAAAAGACCGAAAACATGTTTAACAAGTAATAAATTTCACTTTTCTAAAACAAGAAAACGGAAGTGTTTTTTGTGAAAATACGAGTGAAACATCGAAAGTTTCACAAAACGGATGCATGCCAAAAAATAAACACAGCAAATTGCATTTCAAAGACATCTTCTGATGTTTTCGCAATAGAGGCAACATTTAGTGGAACTTTAAAATTTTTCTTGCATTTAGCTGAATGAAATGTTAGTTTGGTTCAGACTGCATATGCTGAAGTTGCTGCACGATTAGACAATCATTTGCTCTAAAATTAGTTGAACCTCTAGAGGTTTTTAAGTTAATTAAAAATATTGATTGCAATCAGCAATGTTGATGTTGCTTATTAAACTGTTACAACCGAAACTTCACTTGTTGTTACACAAGGCTCATCTTGAACTAAAATTGACTCATTTTACCGGCATCAGTTTAATTTTAATCAGGCAATTAAGGGCATAAGTTACTGCCAAATACCAACAACTGTTGAAAAAAAACCATGTTAATCGAGCTACTCTGATACACGATCCGAACCATTTTCAACCCAATGGGTCACACGAGAATTTAGTGCGTGCCAGATGGGTTAATTGAAGCCCTTGAAACTTCCAATTTCATATTTCGTTTAATAGCGATTTTCCAGTTGGATGACGAATTTGCCCCACGGGACAGGAGATACTTGGCTCCATATGGCTAAGGGAAGTTAAAAATTCGGCAAGTTTTTCAACAAACATTTCGAAGGTTTCCTAATTGTTTCAGGGGAGCGGATCGAATGTCGTTCAACTGGGCAAATTTGCTCCAATTAGGCACACGTGCTGCCCTTTAACTAATAAAAAAGGGGTTGATAACGCAATTGATAAAGTTTGCAAAACTGTTTCAAATATGCCAATCATGCGGGTACCGGGTTGCACACAATGCCAGCCCTTCGAGGGCTTATCTGATATTCACTTTTTGAGTTGCAGTCTTTTTTGTTGCCATCTGGCACCCGATATTATGCACTATTCAATGGCTTTGAATGCAAACTTCCATCAACAAATCTCAACTTTAGGGGATTGCAAAATTTGTTCAACTATCGCCTAGAATTAAAAAAAATGTAATATTTACTTATTACTATAATGATTAATTGGAAGTGATGTTACCTTTTTCGGAAAATTGACCACAATTTATATCGTCCAAAGCTCATCAAAACGATTGCCTGCCTTAATTGCTTTAATTCGTTTAATTGATGTGACCTCTTCGCTGCAAATTCAACGTGCGGCAATTTAGTGATAAAAAAAGAGAAATGTGTATGTACTGTTTAAGTGGCGTTAAGTGGGAAAAATTAGATAAAAAATTGTAATTAGGCTACCAATGCAATCATCAATTTGCATTTTATAAATTATTAATAAATTAATTCGTTTTTTTGGAGGTTGTCTAATTCTGGAYGGTTTTTCAGCCCCATTTTTTTGACGAGAAATAAGTTTTAGTAATAAAATTTCTATCCGCTAATTGGCTTAAAAAAAAAAAAAGGTTTGCAAATTAGAACAGAATTTCTTTAAATTGTGGATTTTTCAATTCCTTAGAACATCGATCGAAAAAGATTGGATCAGGATTTTATTCTAATAGTTTCTTTTAACTGAATTCATATCTCTTTATAAGAGATATTTTACGTGACTTTCGGTCAATTCTTCTTTAGATTTTTATTGGTTTACTGGAACTAAAATTTAAATATCTGTTTGCTTCCTAAGCAGGGTAACTGATGGTTGACTTAAGGGTGGATAGTCGACCTGTCTGGGAAACTGCTATCACAGAAAATCGCTTTTCTTCGCTAAAATAGCCATAAGAGAATCCCGAAAATTAGTTTTAACTTTTAAATCCGAACTTACACGATTCAATTGAAACTTTTATTTTAATTTCTACATGAAGAATCAATAGTGGTTAGGCGCAATTTGAAAATTCCATAAAATATTGTCATTAAACTTGCGGTTTATTTTCTGGTTTTCTATGAAGCGAAATTTTAAAGATTTAATATTAAATACTTTAGCTTACAACTTAAACAATGCAGGATAATACCTAAAGTTGTAGGTGATTTAAAACGGGTTTGCACTTTTAGCTATTATTGAACTTAATCACGTTTCCAACATCAAGCGATTACCTTCCAAAGATTGCTTGGGTGTATATTTCTAATTGATAATGTTTTAAAAACTTTACTTTTTCTCAATTATTTCCTAATCTATTCACCATCCAGGATAAAACAGTGTCTGGTGTATTTTGGAACCTTATCGGACTTGGTTTTGTTGCTATACCAATTGAAAAGCCTAGTGTTTTGTTTATTGCAACTGATTAAATTCTAACAGAAATAATCGGTGGAAAAGCTGCTGCAAATGCCTGGCTGAAGAAACAATTGCAAGGGCAAAGTTCCCTTGATGTATATTGATAAGACTTGCATATTATCGAGTAGTTTTTCACACGTGTGCACTCACGAGGGCCGCAGAAAGCTGAAAAAAGTGGCCTCCAACCGGGTGGGGATACGAGATATGGGCATTTTGCCCTGCAGGAGACTCTTCAATGGAAATAACTCTTTTTCGGTTTGGGAGGGCGGAAATTTCCATCTGATTTTATCAAGCGTTGTTAAGAGGCCAGCTGTTTCTGCCTCAAATAGACCGAAGGTTTTACGGCAAATCAAAATGCTAGGGATCTCAGACACCTTGATTGGTTAAAGAGTCGTTATTTTTCAGTCAAGTTTTAATGGTTTTATTGATCTCTAGCGAAGAAAAATAGCGGTTTATCGGTATTTTTTGGGCGTTTTCAATTAAATTTGTGAAAGAGTTAATAAATTGCGGGAACAAAGGCGAAGCCAGAAACAAAGCAGGAAAACGCCCCTAATGAACCCGTGGAAACAAAGAGCTGAAACGAGACACTAACCAGCACTTTTTTAAGCGTATTGTGTTTCTGATACATCCTGTAAACTAACCCGATCCTACGCTTCTTCAGCCATGTGGGAAGCCTTTGAAGCCGCATTCGGACCCATAACCAAATTGGGAAAACCAGTAATAGAACAAGAAAAAATTCGCCTGTCTGGTGTGATCAAGATAGTCAAATAAATTACCTCCGAGGTTCGGATTTGGGGAAATTTCGAGCATAAAAACCGTGAAAATAATGGGGCGCATCCGCCATTCAACCATGAAGACTGCAATTTAATGAACTCATTTACACAACTTTAGACGGTTGCAACGCTACAGGCCGGAATGATTCCCATCAATGACATGGCAGAGCAGTTCGAACTCTACCATGCAGAAAATCAAATCGCTATCCCAAAAAATTATGCTAATCGAGCCTCCACTAACAAAGAAGCA